ACTTTTATCTTTTCAGATAAAAGGGTCCCTAGGTTCTATATATGTAATTATATCCCAAAGGCGTCCCCTTGAGATGTCTCTTGATAGTTAAGATACTGGTTAACTGCTATGGGCAGCAAAGGTTTATTAATTAATTAGAGATTATTATTTAGGGTAAAATATGTTATGTGTTTTATTAGCGATAATAATATTATTATTACAGTGTATTAGGAAATATTAATTATTAGATCAATAATTAAAAGATTGTTATGAACATAATTCTTCTGACTTGGTCTAAAACCAAGTCCTTTTATCCCTTAAACGAACAGAAATTTAGACCATATTTGGTCTAAAATTTCAAATTTTTGTAGACCCCATCTAAACAAAAAGTTATCATTTGTTCCCCATTTTTTTTTTGATTTCTAAATAGACAAAAAGGTATAATTTATACATATAAACCATTTTATTTGATTGATATTTTGGGGGAGAGTTTAATTGATATGAAAAAAAGGTGTATTGTAAAAAAAATCCCGATTTTTAATTTTTTTAATAGTTATGATTAGAAAAAGTTTTTACTCGTTGATTATTTGGTCTAAACCGTAAACTATGTGAAAATACTATTTCTAATAAACAAGTTTACTTAAAAAAAAAATCCGGTTTACAATACAGGTTTTCATTTTAATATGTGTTGAAAATCATGTACATATTTTTTATTTTTGTGTAAAATTTATAAAAATTAAATTTATTTTTTAATCACTACAATGATATTTTACAAAACAATTTCTTTTCGAGTTTAAACATAAAGCAACATTACATAAAGTACAAAATATAAATGAACAACTTTCATTATTTGTAGACTTTCCTTCTTCTTCTTGTGTCATATATTTACAATACTCGCATTTAGTCCTATTTTCTCTATACTCAGGCAAATGATCTCCTTGAATCAATCTTTCCAATGGAAGAGTTGATTTAGAAGTAGTGTAAGCTTGTCTTGTGTGAGAAGATGATGAAAAAGATGATTGGTAACGAGTTTCTCTTTGACCAGTATTCCTATCTAATCCTTCTTTTATTAAATCCCATACAATACTCATTCTGAAATCTTTATGCATAATCTGATTATTATATTTTTTTTTGTATATTAAATAAGAATTTATGATAGCAGTATCCAATAACCAGAAAAATATTGGCACCCAGGTTCTTTGAACTTTTTGCTGAGTGGAATAATAACTTCTTAGTTGATCTGCAATATCAACACCTCCCATATGATGATTGTAATCATCAATTATCTTTGGGATTGGTAATAATTTTTTTGTTTTACTACCAAATACTTTTTTTACTTTAACTGCATTACTACTAGTCTTACGAGGACAGCGCCGAAGTTTATATATTCTATTTTCAAAACCAACTATATTATGTATTGTGGATAACATTGTGACAGGACCATTATCAATCCATAATACTGCCAATACATCATTATCTACAACAACACCAGAGAGGGTATCCCAATCTAATTTCTTCTTTCCTATTTTAAGAGCTGGTGGAAATCTTGAAGAATTAGTACGAATAGTTCCACAAGCACCAATTCCTTTACTATGTAAAAATTTGAATAATGTGATGCTAGAGAAGTAATTATCCATATAAATATTGAATGCTTTATTGGAAGGTAATTTGGAAGCTAAATGATAAACTTGACTTCCTATTTTATTAAGATTCTTAATTTGTTCAACTTCATTATCTTTTTCAATTCTAGAGGTAAAGATGAAAGAAAAAGTATAACCTGCATCACATAAAGCTAAAACCTTATACCCTTCTGGTGTTGGCTTATTTTTTATTCTGAAAGTATGTGCACTTCTGCCACAAAACCTTATAATCATTTCATCTATAGAAATATTAGATGATGGTACATAAATTGATTGTGATATCCTATTTATGTGGGATGCTAATGGTTCAACTTTTGAATACCAAAATGGATGATTCTCTTCCATATCAGAAATATGCAAAAAATTTTTAATTTTTTCAAAATTTCTAATACTCATATATGATGCAATAGAATGTATTGGGTATCCTTTTTTTTTATTCCATAAATCTCAAATTGATGGCATTTTAAATAATCCAGCATAGATAATAATTCCTAACCAAATTTTTATGTCAAATAAATCGATGCTTAACCATGAATTTCCTCCATTTTTATTTATTGCATATTTATTGGTATTAGTTACAATTGTTGCTAAAATAGAATCAGAGAAAAATAATTTAAAAATTTCATAAGGGCTAACTGAATCAAGTCTATTAAATTCTCCTGGCAAATTATCTTCAGAATCAATTTTTATTTATTGCATATTTATTGGTATTAGTTACAATTGTTGCTAAAATAGAATCAGAGAAAAATAATTTAAAAATTTCATAAGGGCTAACTGAATCAAGTCTATTAAATTCTCCTGGCAAATTATCTTCAGAATCATGTAATGGATTACGATGATTAAGTTGATTAAATAGTGGTGGATGTGGAAGGTTAATTTGTTGAATTTGTGTTCCTTTAATTCTTGTAGTTGTTGGAGTTTCATCTATCTCCATTTCCTCAGTAGTCCCATCATTATCAGTTCCATTACCATCTTCTAAATTGTCAAGGGATTCAATAAATTCATTATACTCAAGAGATTCATCTTGGTAAATATTTTGTGGTCTTGTAATATTAGCAATATAATAATCTAATTCATTATCAGAATCTTGTTGATTTTCTTCAAAAATATTTTCTTGCATTTTAATTGAACTCTTTTTTATTTTTTTATTTTTTTATTTTATAGATACAGTAATTATCAATAAATTGAATTTCCTTGATGTATCTTCTACTTGGGCTTATATATAGAAGATTTAGATCAAGTAAAAGCAGTTTTAAAACATATATATACATTGGCATCATACATTTCATCATGGTCTGATACAAAATTTTTGTTGTATGTTCATTATAAAAACATTACTAAATCAGGCTATTTAAATTTTGGATCAGGACATGATAACAGCTGTTTAAAAATCGTATGATACCAAAATATTATAAATAACGGGATTCGGAAAACCTTTTATTTATTCCAGATTTTTGTACTACATAAACAATACATAATAAAATCTACATAATAATTGGTTAAGTTAACGCGATCTGATGATTTTAATAAATATATTGATGACTTATTTTCACCTGACTCAAGAATTGAAGAGGTGGTAATGGTCCCATATGAAGAAACTGATAATTTGGCTACTAGGCGTGAAAAATTATTAAATAAAATAACTACATTGGGAAGAAAGCAAGGAAGAATTGAAAAATTAATATATTATTACTATATTGGAGAGGAGTTACTAAAATATAATAACTATAGAGAGAAATGGAGGGTTGTTGTAAAAGAAAAAATGTTTATGAGCGAAAAAAGGCATTTTACAAATGCTATAAGAGTATACAAGCTTTTTAAATTAGTAAACAAAGAAAAGATTTATAACACTGTTTATTTGAATTCCAATTTAATTGGAGAATTGTCCACAACTGATTATAAAAAGTTATATGATATGATAGAAAATTGTATAATTTACAATTACTTCCATATGAACTTGCAAGACACACAATTTTTTTCTTAATTACATATTCATTTAATTTACATTCCTTGAATTTTTTCCTATACTCTTCAATTATGTATTTGTTTAAATTTACATCCTTATGGACTTATAAGTCTCAATTATGTATTTATTAATCTATTATTATTATGAAAATAAATATTGTTTTTATACATTTGAAATTTGCTGTTTGTATATCTACCTTCTGTATAATCTTGAAGATCATTATACTTATGTTTTTTCCTTTATTTTTTTCCAAGACATACAGTAGCCTTCTGTATATCTTGAAGATCATTACAACTTTTTTTATTTTTTTTTTCAAGATATACAGTATATCTTTGAAGATCATTATGGCTTTTTCCTTTATTTTTTCTCCAAGATATACAGTAGCCTTCTGTATATCTTGAAGATCATTATGCTTTTTCCTTTATTTTTTTCACCAAGATATACAGCAGCCTTCTGTATATCTTGAAGATCATTACTAAAGCTCCGAACGGTTCAGTTTGGTTTAAAATCTGAATTTTTAAAGGCCAAACCGAAACCGAACCGTTCAGTTTGGTTCAGTTTTTCGGTTTACATTTGAACCAAAAATTTCAGGTATCCTAAATTTGTTAACTATGCAAAAATAAACATAACATAATAACTTATAATGACTTGTGGCTGAATGTGTGTTGCGAAGTAAAAATGCTGGAAGGATCCTGTTTCTATATACATGAAGTTATAAAGGATTTTAGACATTTAAAATCTGTTATAATAATAATATAGTGCAGGACACCTAGTCCCTACAACTTTTATTAGTCTTGCAAATCCTTTAACTCCTCCAAAAATGGAAATGTGTGACCAAAAAAACAAGATGACATTTTGAAGCTAAGACCTTTTTCTACAAAATGACATTTTCATTTTGTTGATATGCCATGTTGTTGTGGAGGAATTAAGCCTTAAAGTTGCACAATTTTAACAAATTTACTATGTTAATCCCCCAAAGTGACGTGTTACACACAAATTTTTTATATTAAAAATGAATGAATTGGAAGAATTGAAAATTTTGAAATCTGTATTGCAGATCTTTTATCACGTGATACTAATAAAGAGAATGCAACGTGGCAAACCTATTTTTAAAACACGTGACTGTAAAAATTTTATTGCATTTTTGATTGTGAATTTTTTCCCAAATCTGTTGCTGTGGCGTAGGAAGTTGTAGGGACTAGGTGTCCTGCACCATAAATATGTAATAAATGGATCACAGCATAAGATCATCATAAATAACAATATTCTTATTTTTTTCCTTTTTAAAATATATATACCAATAATAATCACTCAATTCTATCCAATTAAATTCAATTAAAAATTCGAATATATTTGTAAAACTAAAGATAATATACATATATATAAGAAAGGTTTGTAGTTTTTTATGCAAACAATTTCCTTATTTGAATTTCTTTGGTCAAGATTGACAAGTTTTTCATAATGAACTGAACACAGACCTTCCATCCAAACTTAACTTAATGTTAACTAGTGACAACAAGTTGCAGCGATCGTAACCACCACCATTTAATGATAAATGACACTTACCCAAACTGACCTACTTCACGATCTGTATCTTTTCTTCTTTTTTTAATTTTTTTGGACATTTTTTTTTTTTAAAAAAATTGATTTCAACTGATTTTGATGAATGTGATAGACTTTATTTTGAGGAACTTTCATATGAAAGAGTCAAGGATATTTATGAACAAGAAAATGCTATAAGTATTGTTGTATCTGTTGGTGATCAATTATCACAAAATAATACAGCATATTGGGTACTAGTCCCATTATGATTGATAAAACTGAAGATAGATACAAATTCCCCAAGATTTTAGATACAATTGGTGTTGACCAACCTGAATGGAAATAATTGACTAGTGTTGAAGAAGCTGATAAATTTGCTGATAAAGTTGGGTAAGTTGAGTAGTGTTTTTTTTTGTATAGAAAAAAAAATCAAATCAAATCATATTTATTGTAATAATCCATGACAACAATTTACTAATATTCTTTATATATATATTTTTATAGATATCCTGTTCTTGTTCATCCATCATATGTACTTTCAGGTGCTGTCATGAATGTTTATCATAGCCATAAAGTATTGTGTTAAAAGCTTTCTGAAGCTACATCTGTTTTTTTACCATTACATCCAGTAGTTATTACTAAATTCATTTCAGGTGCCTCTGAAATTGATGTTGATGCAATAAATAAATTTAGACAATGTAAGATAATTCATTTAAAAATGTCAAATCAATATAACCCAAAAAGATCTTGGTCTGAAAAAGAAAATTCCAATTCTAAAAAA